GAGGATGCGTCACATAAAACTCTAGAAATGTATATGTCTGAAACCAGATAACATTTTAAAATTTAAACCTATTAAAAGTCATTTGGTCGCTAGGAGTGGGTTATTATCGAAATAAATTATTGATCATTAATAATAATCGATTATTTTCGATTAATCGATTATTTTCAAACAATCTATTTTTGTTCGTATTTCCTTTAAAATTGACTACTTGATTATCTTTAAAAAAATTAAAAAAAAAATAGATTAGTTAAAAAGCCAATTAACCGATAAATCAGTGTTTACAAAAAATAATAAACGAATTATCGTTCATTTTAAATAATCGATTATTTTTAATTTCTATTTTTTTTTTCGTATTTCCATTGAAACATTATTCAATAATCTTTGAAAAATCTAAAATAATCGATTAATCAAAAATAATCGATTAATTAAAAAGTCGAATAATCGATAAATCGATTTAAAAAAAAAAAAATAATTATTTCCTTTAAAATCAATTATTCGATCATTTTTGAAACATCGAAAATAATCGATTAACGGAAAATAACCAACCAATTAATTAAGAAGATTCTACGATAAATCGATTTTCCAAAAAAAAAAACTGAATAATTATTGATTATTTACAAATAATCCTTTTCTTTTTTGATATTCCTTTTAAAACTGATTATTTAATTTTCTTTGAAAAATCGAAAATAATTGATTAATAAAAAGCTGATTTACCGATAAATCAATAATTCTAAAAAGTAACCGAAATATCGATTATATAATATAACCGATTATATTCGATCAATCGATTATTTTTATATAATCTATTTTTTGTATTTTAAAACAAATTATTTGATTACCTTTGAAAAATCGAAAATAATCGATTAATCGAAAATAATCGATTAATCGAAAATAATCGATTAATCTAAAATAATCGATTAATCGAAAATAATCGATTAATTTAAAAAGTCTATTAAACAATAAATCGATTTTTCTAAAAAATCGATTATTTTCAATAAATCGAATATTTTGAATAAATCTACTCTCTTTTTGTAATTCCTTTATAATAGATTATTCCATTACCTAAAAAAACGAAAAAAAATTATTAAAAATGTTCGATTAATCAAAAATAATCTATTAAAGATAATCGATTAATTATAACGGATAAATCGATTTTCATGAAAACGATAAATCGATTATTTTTGTAACCCCTATCGGTCACATGCTTTTATCAGAGCATGCTTTTATCAGAGCATTTAGCTCCAAAATTTAGAAATTCGGATTTATTGATCCTGTTATCTTTGAAACCGCATTCGATTGTATAATAAATATTGCTAGAATTTAGATTTTTTTAGTAAACGAAGATATTTTTCGAGTTGTTTAGGGGTTTATAATGTAACATTTTACTAATAATATGACTAATTTCCGTAACTTTAGTATTTTTTTCTACACCCGTATTATAATAATGCACTTATATGCCCATAATCCGTTTCATAATGATACCCATTATGATACAGATTTTTCATTACGATACAGATTTTTAATCAATAGAAACCTACAATTTTTCAATCAAGCATGCTGTTTGACGTTTGTCCTAGGTTCCTATGTAATTATTTTAGTTGTCAAAACGTATTAAATTTTCGTAGGTAGCTAAACTTCGATAATTATAATATTAAAATGTCTGATATTAGCGATATAGAAGACTCCTCCACACATATCGGAGAAAGCAGAAAATACAGTACAAAATATTTTACCGCAAAAATCTAGGGAAATACCAATACCTGAAGTAATACCATTAATTACAATTTTGTAGAATTTTTTATAGAAATACGAGTAATTACTGTTATTGTGTTCAATACCAATATAAATATAATATTTATAGGCCTTGATTATTTATCGGGTGTAGAAAAAATAGCGTATGCAACTCTCATGTAATGGTTATTAAAACACTCGCATAAACCATACGAAACTCGCCTTTGGCTCGTTTCGTATCCCGGTTAATGCTCGTGTATTAATAACCATCATTACATGATCGTTGCATAATATACTATTTGCTTATACTAGATCATATTGCGCGTTTTACTTTGTTTCAAGATTCAAATGTCACTTCTGATTTAACCGCAAATAAAATAAACCTTGAAATTTTAAGTAGGTGAACCTGTATTTCATCTAAAATTCTTGTAAATATATCTAATAAAGGGCTAAAAACCACTTTTAGTAAATATTCTTATAAAACTACTTTTTAAAATTTCGTTAATAACAATGCCTATTTACTTCTTATTTAGATTAAATATTTATTGAAACCCCTTAATGCGGATCTGAAGTATTCAGCTCAAAGAATCATGGCGACTTTATGTCAAAACGTCAACAAATATTTACCGCTGAAAACGAATATATTTCTTATTTTTCATAACATTGACACATATTATTTGTATATACAATTTTTCACCATACATCGTGGCATTTTCAACTTGAAATTGAATAACTAAAACACTTTAAATTGCTAATAACACCAATAAATAATTCAAAAACGGCGGTCCATAAATGATTTACTCACGCGGAGACAAGCAAGGAATAGAAATTTCGGAGCAATTCGGGTGGCGTCGTGAACACAATGATTTTTAATTGGTGGGTTACTTAGGTTTGGAATAGACAACATGCGCAATGTGCAATGTTACATCTCCGGTCTCTTTTATCTAAGGTTGCAGCCTTATTTTGGTCGACTGTTCTTAAAAATATTGATTGTTGTCCAATTAACTGCTTTTTTAACTGTTTCAGTTTCTCCTTTCTGGCGGCAGAATGTAGTGGGAATGATTTTTTAAAATTAGAATGTACAGTTTTATGATGTCTCTCAATATTTCCCAACGGAGACCGAAGTATTACATAACAAACACACATTTTTATCTTTAACTTCTGTAAAAAAGTATTGTTCTTCCCATTCCGAATGAAAGTGGTATGTCTTTACCTTCTTACAACTGCTTGCCATAATATTATTTTTTGTTGTTCTCTACTAACCCAACCGCTGGACGTTGGTTACGCGTTCAGTTTTAAACTAAGCGCAATGTCGCCGCGCCGTGCGTATTTATCCCGTTCATAGCAATCCTGATCGTTCTCGAACACTAACGCGCTGGTCCGGCTGGTCGGTTCTAGCCGATTCTAGCTTGATGGCGTCAGCGGCAGATCGCTCACCGCAACGTTGCCGCTGTTTATGTTTAATATTATGACAATTAGATTTTTTTGTGGAATTTTCGGAAGCTTCTCTGATTTTTGCAGTTTGTATTTTTTAAATTAAATTCGTTGTGAGAATTTCCAGAATTGCCTCCACAAGCTACCGGTGGCTCGCGATCGACAGGTTAGCGACCACTGCCCTAGTAGATGGGTCCTTTATCCACTGGCAACTTTTATATTTGATGATATATTGTCACGGAAGATATTTTAAATGAATTTTGGGTACAGAAAAACACCATTTAAAAAAAAATGTTACATAGGCCGTTCATCCACTTGTGTCTTCAATTATTATTTATACGCGACGAGCGACAGCTGTCACTGCCTGATATGTTTCTATTATATCTGGTTCAACTTATTGTAAGGTATACGTTTTGTTTTGAGAATTCTGTACCTGTACATGTATATTGTAGTACATGATAGGTTAGTAATAAAATAATAGTAGTGGCTTTTAAAATTAACTCGGAACCACAACTGTAAAGACGGTAGTGAAAAATGTATATTAAGACGACCACCCATGGTTTCAATCCGTTTGATGTTAACAAGCGAAAGATAGTTTTTATTCAGTTCTCTCGAATGATACCTACCATGACTAAAAGGATTTATTTACGAAAGATGAATAAAAAGGCACAAATAGGTTAAATCTATTGCGGAAAAATAGGATTTACATTGTTTCGATGAAACTTATTTTTTAATTCGTTAGCTGCGATGACTATTTTATCATTTTTCGTTTTTGACTTATCGTGCAGACAAAAAACGTACATAAAAATCTAAATTTGGATGAATATTAAAAATATCTTGAAATAGTCCAGGGCATTTAGCAAAAATAGCGGAAATTTTGACATACCACAGATATCGAGATGCGGTTTTCTGCATTGTGTTGGGGAAGGTCCCAGAAAAGACTGGTGAAAATGTGGGTATGCAGTTTTTTGAAAAACGCCTTCTGGGCCGGAAAATGCATTTTCCAATTGCATCATTATTTGTGCCGTTATGGGAGCGATTGTAAACGCGGAAAAATCGCTCGGAAATTGTTACTCGGGGGTTTTCGGGGCTGCCGAACTCGATTCTGCCATTAGAATTACCCGCGAATGCACGGGGGCGGATCTGTGGGGGTGCGCGGGGGGTGAATTGGGGGAGAAATTGCAGCGTGCATGAGAATCGCTCCAAACTCGTTACTCGGGGGTTTTTGGGGATGCTGAATTCAATTCTGGCATTGGAATTACCCGGGGGCGCTTAGGAGCGCCTCTGCAGGGGTGTCCGGGGGTTCATTCTGGGGGGAAATCGCATAGTCCATGTAAATGGGTCCAAAATCGTTACTCGGGGGTTTTCGGGGATGCTAAATTGAATTCTGGCATTGGAATTACCCGGGGGTGCTCAGGGGCGCCTCTGCAGGGGTGTCCGGGGGTTCATTCTGGGGGGGAAATCGCATAGTCCATGTAAATGGGTGCAAAATTGTTACTCGGGGGTTTTCGGGGATGCTGAATTCAATTCTGGCATCGGAATATCCGGGGCGCTCAGGGGTGGCTCTGTGGGGGTGCGCGGGGGATGAATTGGGGCAGGAATCGCAGCGTGCATGAAAATCGCTCCAAACTCGTGACTCGGGGGGGTTTTCGGGGATTCTGAATTCAATTCTGGCACTGGAATTACTCGGGAGCGCTCAGGGGCGCCTCTGCAGGGGGTCCGGGGGTTCATTCTGGGGGGGGGGGAATTGCATAGTCCATGTAAATGGCTCCGAAATCGTTTTTCGGGGGTTTTCGGGGATGCTGAATTCAATTCTGGCATTGGAATATCCGGGGCGCTCAGGGGTGGCTAGGAAATGGTAAAGCAGCAAGTGGAAAATTACAAATTATCAACATAACTCTTTATTCAAATAACAAATAGAAGTTTTTATTAGTCTTGAATTATTCATTATAAACTCAAATTTTCAACTTAAGACCTAAACATCTTGTTCAAACTCTTCTTCTTCTTCTTCCCGTTCTTCTCCTTCTTCCCCTTCGTCATTTTCTTCCCCTCCTTCATCTTCTTCCTCGTCACTACTCTCGGCCTCATTGGCAACGTCTTTTTGGTTTGAGCAATTGCCATCGCAATGCTTGCATGCAAGAGAGCACTCCAACCCATTTCGGCGGCACCCGCACCTCGGGCCACAATCCGTTTGACAAGAACAAGAAATTTTGCTCAAAATTTCCTCGGGACCGGCTTCCTGGGTCATGGTGACAGGACTGAGCTCTCCACCCACCATTTCCCAGCCCCATTCTACCGGATTTAAGGTCTCGACTTGAGCTTGTGAACCATACCAAGCCTGTACTTGGAAATAGACCCGCTTGATATGCTCGGTTAATGCATTGGCAGTCGGAATTATGCGTGCAAGGTCGACTTTTTGAAGGTCGGCGGCTGCAGTATACGATTTTGCTCGATACTTTTGGACGAGCTGAATGGCAGGTTCATCTTTGGTGCACAGATCTTTGGGTGCCCCGTAAAGAGCCAAAGCGAGACGAAGCCCGTGATCTATTAAAGTATCCATGGCTACATGTGTTTGCTTAAATATTTCTGCAAACCCATGCAAATCATCGGATTTCGCAAACAATTCGCAGAATTTTAGTTTCCCTCGAGAGAAAAATGCTGAAGTTGTGTCGCATCCTGTGAAAGCATGTAGAAATAATATATGAGACCTGATACACGCGCTCTCGGAGGCTAAGCTCTCGGAAGAATACACGACCTCAGGTACTCTAGCAGAAGGCGGCTTCAGCAAGAACACTTCTAGATTCGGTGGAGTCCGACCTACAAGCATTGTTAAGACATCAGTGTCTTCCGAAACAATAACCACTTTATTGTTGTGACTTCCAGAAGCAGTGTCTATGGCCTTAAGCACAATATCAACATCCGCGTCAGCTACACTCTGCTGAGACATTATGTTGGCCCGTTCAAATTCCTCCTGGATAAATTTTATCCGGACACCCCTGCAGAGGCGCCCCTGAGCGCCCCCGGGTAATTCCAATGCCAGAATTGAATTCAGCATCCCCGAAAACCCCCGAGTTACGATTTTGGAGCCATTTACATTGACTATGCGATTTCCCCCCCGGAATGAACCCCCGGACACCCCTGCAGAGGCGCCCCTGAGCGACCCCGGGTAATTCCAATGCCAGAATTGAATTCAGCATCCCCAAAAACCCCCGAGTAACGATTTTGGAGCCATTTACATGGACTATGCGATTTCCCCCCCGGAATGAACCCCCGGACACCCCTGCAGAGGCGCCCCTGAGCGCCCCGGGTAATTCAAATGCCAGAATTGAATTCAGCATCCCCAAAAACCCCCGAGTACCGAGTTTGGAGCGATTCTCATGCACGCTGCCATTCCTCCCCCAATTCACCCCCCGCGCACCCCCACAGATCCGCCCCCGTGCATTCGCGGGTAATTCTAATGCCAGAATCGAGTTCGGCAGCCCCGAAAACCCCCGAGTAACAATTTCCGAGCGATTTTTCCGCGTTTACAATCGCTCCCATAACGGCACAAATAATGATGCAATTGGAAAATGCATTTTCCGGCCCAGAAGGCGTTTTTCAAAAAACTGCATACCCACATTTTCACCAGTCTTTTCTGGGACCTTCCCCAACACAATGCAGAAAACCGCATCTCGATATCTGTGGTATGTCAAAATTTCCGCTATTCGGGTGATTTAGTGCTAAATGCCCTGGACTAAAAGTAAACCTATAATATACTCTTCAAGAGTATAATAATAGAAGCAAGTTAGTAGCAAGTAATATTTTAAGTGGATACCTATAGAATAAATTTCGCATAGGTCTTTGGTGTTAAGCACATGCGTTAAATGTATGTATTAAAGATATGAAATGTGTTATTTGCAAAAAATAAAACTAATAAAAAAATGAGGAAGCCTAGACGACTGGAGCATTGGACAATTATTTCAGCTGCAGAAAAAAGGTTAGACTCGTCTAGTAAAAATATTTTATCCAAAAGGGATGATAAATTATTGAGGAGAACCTATATAATGTAGCAAAATGTATCCAGAGAAAGTTGCAATAATCTGCGGAATATTTTTTTGTGTAAAAGTAATTAAGAAAGTCCCTCCCTCTTTATCTAGAAACCGTCGACAAACAATTAGTGCTGTCGACATACGAACTATGTGTTTCATTTATAATAACAGAGGAAGAAAGAAGAAAAAATATCTCATAGCTATTCAAACAGGTAACTAAATTTTGTTAATATGAATTAATAGAGGTTATAAAGTTTTCAGAAAATTTAAAGGAAACTCTTAAAGAAGTAAATGAACTAGAAGAGTTACCTAGAGACCAACATGCCTCGGCCTTATGGTACTTTGAAAGAAGAAAAAGGCTTACAGCGTCACTCTTTGGGATTGTTTGCAAGAAAACAACGACAGCTGCCAATCTCTTTTGGATACAATATTGTATCAAAAGCTTTTATTCGGCAACTTATGACTACGGCAAAAAAAAATAAAGAAAATTCTAGGGAGCAATTATAAAATTTAATTAGAAAAACTATAGATCCTTGTGATCTTTTTGTTGATATCTAACGGCCTTTTTTGGTAGCAACCCCAGTTGGTCTTATCGAAGATAGAGGCCAAGTTGAAATAACATTTCCTTATTCTGCAAGGCAAATGACCCCAGAACAAGGAATTCAACCCAAAAATATTACTTTTTTGGTAAAACAACGAAATTAATAAAAACCACAAATGGTAATATCAAGTTCAAGGAGAAGTACACATAACACGCTACATAGTTTAAAAACGGAAACAATCGTAAGGGATAAAGAATTTTAGTTAAATAACATTAAGTCTTTTCTATGATATTTTTACTTTGATTGCATGATTCCTGAAATAATCGATTTACGAAAGGGTAGAAACATGCTAAAAAAATATCCTGAGTATATCTTAGAAGTCATCAATAATAAAAAGAAAAATAGAAAAAGATAATAAAGAACGGCACCAATTTCCACGTTGCTGGCGTCGGTGCCAAGAATAAACTTTCCTTCAGGAAATGGATAGCCCAGGATCGGAGCTGATGTCAACTGCTTCTTCAAAGTGTCAAAGGCAACTTGGCATTCTTCATCCCAGCTGAATCTTCTAGCTTCCTGAGTCATTCGTGTTAGCGGTTTGGCGATGTCCCCAAACATCTTCACGTAGCGGCGATAATAGGAACAGAGCTCCAGGAAGCTCCATAGTTGATGTTTGTCGGAAAGGGTTGGCCATTCCTAAACTACGTGGATCTTGTCTGGGTCTACAGCTATACCGTCCCCGCTGACTACATGCCCTAGATAGTTGACCTTAGTCTGGAATAGATGACACTTCTTCACATTCAATGTCAGATTGGCTGTTTGAAGTCTCTTGAGAACCTCTTCGAGACTCGTCAAATGCTCGTCAAATGTTCGACCCAGAATGATGACGTCATCCAAATACACGAGGCAGATTTCCCAGGACAAACCTTTGAGGATGTTCTCCATCAGTCGTTCAAAGGTGGCTGGAGCCACAGGCCTCTTCGACTTGTGAAAGCCGTCTTTTCCTTGTCGGCAGGATCCATTTCCACCTGATAGTAACTACTCTTCAGTTCCAGAGTGGAAAACAACTTGGAACCTGCGAGTGCGTCTAGTGCGTCGTCGAGTCTTGGTAGTGGGTAACTGTCCTTTCTGGTGACTTCGTTAAGCTTGCGGTAGTTAACGCAGAACCTTGTCGAACCATCTTCATTTTTCACAAGAACTATTGGAGAGACCCAAGGGCTGTTTGAAGGTTCTACCACTCCGTCTTTTGTCATCCCTTGGAGAGTTGTTTCTGCTTCTGCCTTCTTCACCTGGGAAAGTCATCGAGCAGCTTGACGGATAGGACGAGCATCCCCAGTGTCGATCTTATGTTTTACCATACTGGTTCTTCCTGGTTTGCCATCTGATGAACCAAGTCATCGGAGAGGTTGGACATCTTCTGTGAGATTTCTTTTTGCTGGCTAGATATATCGATGGACATCTTTTGGGAGAGTTCATAAGAGAGGTTGGACATCTTGTGAAAGATTTCCTTGCGCTGGTTGGACATCTCAGTGGACAGGCTGAACATCTCGGTGGACAGGCTAGATACCTTCTGCGAGAGTTCATCGGACAGGTTGGACATCTTCAGCGAGATTTCGTCTCGGATCAGGGTCATGGCTTTCATGGAGGGGTCTTCAAACTCCACAGTGTCAGGATCAACACCTTGGCTTTCATAATATTCCCTCAATCTTGTTAGCAATACCGCCTTGCAACCCGCCGTATCTAGATCCAATTCTTCTAGTTCTCTTCTAAGCTCTGCGACCAACAACTGATTTATCTTCTTTTCGGACATCTTAAAAATCCTTACCCCACACCTGACACCAAATGTAAGACGAGTGCGGGTGGAAACTATTTATTTCTTGAAACTACACAAACAAATAATCAACAAAATAACGCGAATACTAATTACGAACTAAACTTTTACAAATGGAACTGCAAAAAAAGGATATTTATTTAGATAATTGGAATTTAATAAACAATAAAACATTTACATTTTAATAAAGAGTATAGATACAAACCTCAAAATAATTTAACTGTTACTTGAAGCGTTTCTGTGTAATACTAATTTTCTTCTTTTCATATTTCTAGCAACACTAATAAATGTTTTTAATAATGAATGTGAATCACTATCACATCTTTGGAGGAAACACTCGTAGTCATAATATTTATAAAAACATTCAAAATTAAATAATTATTAATTGACACAACACACAAATTCTTTATTGATTATTATTTATATTTAAAAGATATTTGTTTAACGATATTTTAGAAGTCTAAAAGTAAGACGGTGCACACAAACGAACTACTTCTCATATACCGTCTAACCGGTAACGTTGTGTCGCCAGTTCCTATTGGTCTATTCCCCTATTTTAAAAAATTAATAACTCTCGCAAATGAACGGATAAAAAAGTTAAATGTAGTTTTACTTTTAACTGTACTATTCATAAAAAAAATGCCCCATTTAATTTGTGATAATGTTATTTTATTAATTTACCACTTTATCTTGTTTTTTTGTTTTGTTTGTTTGTTTGTTTGTTTGTTTGTTTGTTTGTTTGTTTGTTTGTTGGTTTGTTTGTTTGTTTGTTTGTTTGTTTGTTTGTTTGTTTGTTTGTTTGTTTGTTTGTTTGTTTGTTTGTTTGTTTGTTTGTTTGTTTGTTTGTTTGTTTGTTTGTTTGTTTGTTTGTTTGTTTGTTTGTTTGTTTGTTTGTTTGTTTGTTTGTTTGTTTGTTTGTTTGTTTGTTTGTTTGTTTGTTTGTTTGTTTGTTTGTTTGTTTGTTTGTTTGTTTGTTTGTTTGTTTGTTTGTTTGTTTGTTTGTTTGTTTGTTTGTTTGTTTGTTTGTTTGTTAGTAAAGTACCTATGTGATTTCCCTTATTTCTCACTTCGTTTCTTTGTATTTTTGAAAATAAATAAACAATTTTAAAAGTGATGTAGGTATATTGTTTTAAATTAGGTCACACACATTCTCTGTTATATGATTTACACTATTCGTATTTATCGAGGTATTTACATAACAACGGAATTTAATAACTGAATCTTCGTAGATAGATTATATCACTAATAAAAGTCATCCTATTGGGTATTTCTAGTAATGACTGCCTCTTTTATATATTAATAAGCCTCTTTTATATATTAATAAAATAAAAGTTACTGCCGATTATTATATATAAGAAATACATAACGGTATGTATGTATGTATGTATGTATGTATGTAATGTATGTATGTATGTATGTATGTATGTATGTATCTCGGTATGAACTTAAATAAGATTCTACATGAATATATAGTTAAAAATGAATTAATCCATTGTTCAATCTTATAAACGATCTTCTTTCTATCGGACGTTTGATATTAACCGATTGGTATTTTATCTTGAAGAGCAATAATTATCACAGCCTGCACACCTAATGATATGTAATGGAGAGCAAGGGATATACTTAATTAAAGATGATGACTTTTAATATGGATCGC